ATGGTCAGTGAATTTTACAAAATCTTTGTATTTGCTAAACAGTTGAATTTCTAGAAATTAGAAAATGTTTAAAATTCAAAGGATTCATAAAAAATCTAGATTTCACAAAAACTGTAGATAAGTCAAGAATGCCAGTTTCATTTTTTTGACATTTTTCATACTTTCTCAAAGAATTTATCAAGAAAGTCAACTAAATAGTGAAATTTGCAAAATCTTTCAATTTACTACAATAAACAGTTGAATTTCTAGAAATTAGACAACTTTTAAAATTCAAAGGTTTCATAAAAACTCTAACAGACATATTTACACTTCGTTGAGAAAATTAGAATAATGTACAAGTTTAAACATATATTTGAGGGATTTCTCAAATTCTTTCAATTTAATAAACAGTTGAACAGTTCTTTATATTAGAAAATTGTTAAAATTCAAGGTTTCATAAAAACTTGAGAAAATTAGAAAAATGTGCAAGTTTTACTGCTTTTTGGTATTTTTTTAAATTTTCTTATCGATTTTATTAGATTTCACAAAACCTGTAGATAAGTCAAAAATGCCAGTTTCATTTTTGCGAAATCTTTATTTTTTGACATTTTTCCTACTTTCTGAAAGAATTTATCAAGAAAGTCAACTAAATAGTGAAATTTACAAAATATTTAAATTTACTATACTATATTTTTTTACGTTTTCCCAATTTTTTCAAAGAATTTATCAAGAAAGTCAACTAAATAATGATGGTCAGTGAATTTTACAAAATCTTTCAATTCGCTAAACAGTTGAATTTCTAGAAATTAAAAAATGTTTAAAATTCAAAGGTTTTATAAAAACTCTGAAAAAGTTGACATAATTTACACTTCGTTGAGAAAATTAGAAAAAGGTACAAGTTTCACAAAAACTCTAGTATAAAATGAAAATTAAACAGATATTTGATGGAATTCTCAAATTCTTTCAATTTAATAAACAGTTGAATTTCTTTATATTAGAAAGTTGTTGAAATTCAAAGGTTTCATAAAAAGACATAATTAGCATTTCGTTGAGAAAATTATAAAAAATGTATATGTTTTTTTAAACAACTTTATCAGATTTCACAAAAACTCTAGTATAAGTCGAAAAATTAAGCAAATCGTTGATGAAATTGTCAAAAATGCCAGCTCTATTTTTGTGGAATCTTTATTTTTTTTTACATTTTTCCAATTTTATCAAAGACTTTATCACGAAAGTCAACTAAATAGTGATATTTAGATTTACTAAACAGTTGAATTTTTAGAAATTACAAAATGTTTAAAATTCAAAGTTTTCATAAAAACTCTAGAAAAAGTAGACATACTTTTTGCAATTCGTTGAGAAAATTAGAAAAGTGTCCAAGTTTTACTACTTTTTGGTATCTTTTTACAATTATCTTAACGACTTTATTAGATTTCACTAAATCTGTAGATAAGTCAAAAATGCCAGTTTCATTTTTGCGAAATCTTTATTTTTTGACATTTTTCCTACTTTCTCAAAGAATTTATCAAGAAAGTCAACTAAATAGTGAAATTTACAAAATCTTTCAATTTACTATACTAAACAGTTGAATTTCTAGAAATTATACAATTTTTATCCAGAAAGTCAACTCAATAGTGAAATTTGCAAAATATTTCAATTTACTACTAAACAGTTGAATTTCTAGAAATTTCAAAGAATTTATCAAGAAAGTCAACTAAATAGTGATGGTCAGTGAATTTTACAAAATCTTTCAATATGCTAAACAGTTGATTTCTAGAAATTAAAAAATGTTTTAAATTCAAAGGATTCATAAAAAATCTAGATCTCACAAAATCTGTAGATAAGTCAAAAATGCCAGTTTCATTTTTGCGAAATCTTTATTTTTTGACATTTTTCCTACTTTCTCAAAGAAAGTCAACTAAATAGTGAAATTTGCAAAATATTTCAATTTACTATGCTAAACAGTTGAATTTCTAGAAATTATACAACTTTTTAATTTCAAAGGTTTCATAAAAACTCTAAAAAAGTTGACATAATTTACACTTCGTTGAGAAAATTAGAAAAATGTATAAGTTTAACAAAAACTATAGCATAAGATGAAAATTAAACATATATTTGATGGATTTCTCAAATTATTTCAATTTAATAAACAGTTGAATTTTACAAAATCTTTCAATATGCTAAACAGTTGAATTTCTAGAACTTAAAAAATGTTTTAAATTCAAAGGATTCATAAAAAATCTAGATTTCACAAAATCTGTAGATAAGTCAAAAATGCCAGTTTCATTTTTGCGAAATCTTTATTTTTTGACATTTTTCCTACTTTCTTACAGAATTTATCAAGAAAGTCAACTAAATAGTGAAATTTGCAAAATATTTCAATTTACTATGCTAAACAGTTGAATTTCTAGAAATTATACAACTTTTAAAATTCAAAGGTTTCATAAAAACTCTAAAAAAGTTGACATAATTTACACTTCGTTGAGAAAATTAGAAAAATGTACAAGTTTCACATAAACTATAGCATAAGATGAAAATTAAACATATATTTGAGGGATTTCTCAAATTCTTTCAATTTAATAAACAGTTGAATTTTACAAAATCTTTCAATATGCTAAACAGTTGAATTTCTAGAAATTAAAAAATGTTTTAAATTCAAAGGATTCATAAAAAATCTAGATTTCACAAAATCTGTAGATAAGTCATAAATGCCAGTTTCATTTTTGCGAAATCTTTTGCAATTCGTTGAGAACTTTTTGCAATACGTTGCGAACTTTATCAACTAAAAAGTGAAATTTACAATATCTTTCAATTTACTATACTAAACAGTTGAATTTCTAGAAATTATACAATTTTTAAAATTCAAAGGATTCATACAAACTCTAGAAATTATACAATTTTTGTCCAGAAAGTTAACTAAATAGTGAAATTTGCAAAATATTTCAATTTACTATACTAAACAGTTGAATTTCTAGAAATTTCAAAGAATTTATCAAGGAAGTCAACTAAATAGTGATGGTCAGTGAATTTTACAAAATCTTTCAATATGCTAAACAGTTGAATTTCTAGAAATTAAAAAATGTTTTAAATTCAAAGGATTCATAAAAAATCTAGATTTCACAAAATCTGTAGATAAGTTTCATTTTTGCGAAATCTTTATTTTTTGACATTTTTCCTACTTTCTCAAAGAATTTATCAAGAAAGTCAACTAAATAGTGAAATTTGCAAAATATTTCAATTTACTATGAATTTCTAGAGATTTTACAACTTTTAAAATTCAAAGGTTTCATAAAAACTCTAAAAAAGTTGACGTAATTTACACTTCGTTGAGAAAATTAGAAAAATGTACAAGTTTCACATAAACTATAGCATAAGATGAAAATTAAACATATATTTGAGGGATTTCTCAAATTCTTTCAATTTAATAAACAGTTGAATTTTACAAAATCTTTCAATATGCTAAACAGTTGAATTTCTAGAAATTAAGAAATGTTTAAAATTCAAAGGATTCATAAAAAATCTAGATTTCACAAAATCTATAGATAAGTCAAAAATGCCAGTTTCATTTTTGCGAAATCTTTATTTTTTTACATTTTTCCTACTTTCTCAAAGAATTTATCAAGAAAGTCAACTAAATAGTGAAATTTGCAAAATATTTCAATTTACTATGCTAAACAGTTGAATTTCTAGAAATTATACAACTTTTAAAAATCAAAGGTTTCATAAAAACTCTAAAAAAGTTGACTTTACACTTCGTTGAGAAAATTAGAAGAATGTTCAAGTTTCACAAAAACTATAGCATAAGATGAAAACTAAACATATATTTGAGGGATTTCTCAAATTCTTTCAATTTAATAAACAGTTGAATTTTACAAAATCTTTCAATATGCAAAACAGTTGAATTTCTAGAAATTAAAAAATGTTTAAAATTCAAAGGATTCATAAAAAATCTAGATTTCACAAAAACTGTAGATAAGTCAAAAATGCCAGTTTCATTTTTGCGAAATCTTTATTTTTTGACATTTTTCCTACTTTCTCAAAGAATATATCAAGAAAGTCAACTAAATAGTGAAATTTGCAAAATATTTCAATTTACTATGCTAAACAGTTGAATTTCTAGAAATTATACAACTTTTAAAATTCAAAGGTTTCATAAAAACTCTCAAAAAGTTGACATAATTTACACTTCGTTGGGAAAATTAGAAAAATGTACAAGTTTCACAAAAACTATAGCATAAGATGAAGATGAAACAGTTGAATTTTACAAAATCTTTCAATATGCTAAACAGTTGAATTTCTAGAAATTAAAAAATGTTTAAAATTCAAAGGCTTCATAAAAAATCTAGATTTCTCAAAATCTGTAGATAAGTCATAAATGCCAGTTTCATTTTTGCTAAATCTTTTGCAATTCGTTGAGAACTTTTTGCAATACGTTGAGAACTTTATCAACTAAAAAGTGAAATTTGCAATATCTTTCAATTTACTATACTAAACAGTTGAATTTCTAGAAATTATACAATTTTTAAAATTCAAAGGATTCATACAAACTCTAGAAATAACTTTTAATTCGTTGAAAAAATTAAAAATATATGCAAGTTTTAGTGATTGTTGTTTATTTATTTTTTCAATTTTCTTAACGATTTCACTGTAGATAAGTCAAAAATGACAGATTATTTTGCGAAATCTTTATTATACCCACCATCAAAAAAGATGGGGTGTGCGTAAATTGGTTCACTTTAGGTTCACAAAAAAACAATACACAACACCAAAGCCATTTATCTTAAATTATATTTCTTTATTTTAATTTTCATGAGTACAAGAACAAAACAAAAAAATGGACTGTAAAAATTAGATATGTGTGTGTGTCAACTTATATTCAAAAAAACAGAGTAGTATTTGTATTGTAGTTATAAGAGTTGCATCCACAAGTAATACAGTGTTGTATTTATTATAACTATATAAGTACAAAAAATAAATTCCAATCCACAAACATTCCGCCACCCTTTGAAAGCTTCCAGCTTTCAAATTTCCAAGAACAAAGGACATAACTTAGAGACAGGTCGTTTATATACGCCTTTAGATGTTTTCACCGTAACAACCCTCACCAATGAATCTGATCCAGAATGAGTCTGAATAACTTTAGCTATTGACCATTGAGTAGGAGGTAAATTATCGTCCTTAACTATAACAATATCCCCCACATTCAAATTAGCCAATTTATGTGACCATTTCGGCCGACGTTGCAATTGGCCCAAATATTCCAATGCCCATTTACCCCAGAACTCATGTACCAGTCTCTGAACGTAGCGCCACCTGTCATTGTAGTTAATCTTTGCCGAATCTACCTTCCCATCCGGGATTGCCGACATCGATCGCAATATCAAAAAATGTGATGGAGTTAGAGGATCCATGTCACCCACAAATCTCAGACACATTGGGCGTGAATTAAGACAACTTTCCACTTGACAAAGAATAGTAACCATCTCCTCGTATGTAACAGAAGCATTTGCCAATACACGCTTCAAATGACCCTTCACAGACTTTACACCAGCCTCCCAAATACCACCGAAGTGAGGAGCAGATGGTGGCGTAAAATGCCATTTGATCTGGTTATCGCTCAGTTCCTTATTCAATCCAAATTGAGTATTGACCTGGTTCAAATGTTGGTACAAATCTCGCAATTCCCTGTCGCAGCCAACAAAATTAGTGCCGTTGTCCGAATACATGTGCATTGGTTTCCCGCGACGTGCTATAAATCGCCGAAAAGCTGCTATGAATCCTGCTGTTGATAATTCCGTTACAAGTTCCAAATGTATTGCCTTTGTTCCAAGGCAAACAAATACTGCCAACCACGTCTTATACAATTTGGAACCCCTCCCTTTCCATGACCGAACGTAAAATGGACCAGCGTAATCGACCCCGGTATTCATGAACGGTGCACATTGTTGTAAACGATAGTGTGGAAGAGTTGCCATTTGTTGTTGGTAAGTTATTCCCCGAAATTTCATACACCTAATACATTTATATATTGTCCGCTTTACAACATGAACTGCATTTGGAATCCAAAATCTCAATCCAATCAAATATAAAGTTTGTCTGTGACCAGCATGTAAATGTTTCTGATGATAATATCGAACAATTAGATCTGTGAGTATGTGGTTCTTGTCCAAAATCATCGGGTGTTTCTGATCATAGCTTATCCGAGCATTCTCCAATCGACCACCAACCCTCATTATGCCTTCCTTGTCCAAAAATGGAACGAGATCTCCAAGTCCTTTCCCATTTTGAAGCTGTCCACCTGAAGACAATGTATGTATATCGTCCCGATATGAGTCCTGCTGTGCTCGTCTTATTAATATCAATTCTGCCCTTCGCAACTCTGCTGATGTGATATGACCAATTACTCTATCTTGGCCATCAGGTTTGCAATTATCAATGAATCGCATTATCAAAGCTGTAATACGTACCAGTTTGTTATAGTCTGAAAATTTTCCCAAAATATCCACATCCTTTTCAATAGCCACACTTATATTAAATTGCCGTCTTTCCTCCATGTTCTTATCCTTTGTCAGAGGGGATAAATAAAATTGCGGAATTTCCACTCTCCTAATTTCCTCAGGTCCATACCACCACAGATCGTTGTCCTTTAATTCTGCCGTTGAAACACCTCTAGAAGCCAAATCAGCAGGATTGCTTTTACCTGAAATATGACGCCATTTACGGGAAGGCATATGTTCAATAATGAACGATGTCCTGTTGGCTATATAGTTTTTCCATCGTCTCGGATGATCCGATAACCATGTCAAAACGATCATTGAATCCGACCATCCATATACATCCTCTGTATCAATTTTCAGGAAATCCCGAATCTTATTCATTAGTTTCACTAATAAGTGGGCTGCACATAATTCCAGGCGCGGAATTGAAATCTGTTTTATTGGGGCGACACGTGTTTTCGAAGCAACTAAATTAGTTATTACCCTTCCATCAGGCCGAACAATTCGCAAATATATCGCTGCAGCATAAGCTGATTCGGATGAGTCAGCAAATCCATGCAGTTCAGCATGCATGTTCACATCAAGTCCCATCCAGCGCGGTATTCGAAGGTTACAAATATTTCCTAAGTCCTCATAAAGTTCCTTCCATTTCCTTTGCAAGTTTTCAGATAATTCCTGATCCCAATCAGCCCCATGTAACCAAAGGCTTTGCATAAAAATCTTCATCGATATTATCACCGGTGCAATCCACCCAATAGGATCGAAAATACTAGCCATTATAGATAGAGCAACTCGTTTGGTAATCTTTCCCTTTTGCGGTTCCAAGTTGACGGAGAATATAAAACAATCGGTAGAAGTATTCCAAGAAAGACCAAGTGTCTTAACTGTATCAGATATATTTATCGTAGCCTCCTTTACGAATTCCCTATCGTCCGGATCAATTGTCTCAACGAACTCTCTAGAATTAGACGACCACTTTCTCAATTTAAAACCAGCTTGAGATAAAACTGTTGTCAAGTTTTCCTTCAATGTTATAGCTGAAGACAAATTATCGGAACTTGTCATAAAATCATCCACATAAAAATTCTCATCTATAGCATCCGCAATTTCCGGTAAATGTGCATTGTCAATTGCAATCTGATGGAGGGTCCGAATGGCGAGAAATGGAGCTGCTGATGTGCCATATGTGACGGTGTTCAAATGATATTCGTTAATTGTCCTTTCGGAACAGTCCCTCCATAATACGCATTGATATTTCCTATCGTCCGGATGTATTAACACCTGCCGATACATCTTCTCTATATCCGAACAGATTCCAATTCTGTACTTGCGAAAATTCAAAATAATCGTGAAAATATCATTCTGTATGGTAGGTCCGGTTAGTAGCTTATCATTGAGGGAGTAACCCGTATTTGTTTTGCAAGAACCATCAAACACGACACGTAATTTAGTTGTTGAACTTTCCGGTTTCAAAACAGCGTGGTGAGGTAAGAAATATTCACAGGCCTCAGTAATGTGTTCCTCCATATGTCCTAATCCAATAAACTCATCCATAAATCTCTTGTATTCATTTCCCAGTTCCGGACGTTGCATAAATCTCCTCTCCATGGACACCAACCTCTTAGTAGCAGAAGATTTTGATTCTCCTATCTTGATGTTCTCCTTTAATGGTAGTCGTACCATGTATCGGCCATTTTCCAATCTAGAAACATTTTGCTGATAATGCAATTCTGCTTCTGCTTCCTCATCAGAAAAAATCTTCACTGACTTCGGTACCTCCTCAACTTCCCAAAATTTTCGTAATAGTTCATCCATGTTTAGTGAAACATGCCCTGCAAAAAGATCATGCGATGGTTTATGCTCCAGACTTCCCATCATTACCCAACCAAATATCGTGTTCATTGCAATAGGTGAACCAGTGGGGTGTGTGATCCTTCCTGTCAGGATGCATTGACTAAAAATATCAGCGCCCATAATTATGTCGATCTTTGATGATTTATAAAACGTCTTATCTGCCAGTTCCAAATTTTGAAAATATTCCACCATTTCCCTGTCCACATCATAACTTGGAATATCCTGGGTTAACCTCGATAATATATATGCCTGAGTTCCCAACTTGACCGAGTGATTTGCAGAAATTATCTCTATTTCCACCTTGCCCTTTGTATAGTTTCGATTATCGGGACCAACACCAAATAACATTGTCCTGTCATAAGTTCTTCGTAGTCTTAAACCTTGAACGCATGCTTCTGATATTAATGTTGCCTGTGCCCCAGAATCCAGTAAAGCGCGACATGGCCTCAATTCACCATATCCATCACGAATCATGACAATCGCCGTTGGCAATAATGTCACAAAATTTGCCTTCCGATTAGGGTAATGCCCCGATGAGGAGGAATATTGACTTGTCAATATTTGTTGCCGAATCCCGTCGTTGTCCTGTGGTCGTTCAGTTTCAACATTCTTCACGCGGTGCAGAAGCGTGTTATGACGCAATTTACAAATCTTGCATGAGGATCCTTTACAATCATTCACAAAATGTGATGGTTGAAGGCAATTCAGGCATAGTTTATTATCATAAACGAGTTGTATACGCTGAGGAACTTCAAATTCCTTAAACTTTTCACACTGATATATAGGGTGTTGCCGACCACAACAAAAACAATCCTGAACAGATGCTACATAAGCACCAGACTGACCACGATTCCGATTTGTCGTCCTAACCGCTTGTGCGTCAATACATTCCAATTCAAATATTCTATCCTCCAAAAACTTCAAAAATTTACTGAAAGAAATTCTGCGTTCTCCGGACTTTTGGCGACACCAAAGTTGATTTGTTTCGGAATCCAATTTTCGCTCCAAATGAAATAGTAGAATTGAGTCCCAATGAGATACAGGCTCCTCCAATACTCTAAGCGCGTTTATACTCTCATTCACGTTATTATAGAATCGCTTGACTTCCCCAAGATTAACCGATTTAACAGAAGGTTGGTCAAATAATAATCTAAAATACGATAATCTCACTTGATCCGATTCGTCGAATTTGCGCTTTAGTAAATCCCAAGCAATTGGATAATTATCGTTAGTCGGCCTAAGATGTTTTATCAGAATAAGTGCCTCGCCACTTAATTTTGTCTGCAAATATTCCAGCTTCTCGACATTCGATAATGAAGTCCGATTGTGAATCAATGCCTCAAATAAATCCCTAAATCGTATCCATTCAGAATATGACCCATCAAAATCCGGTATGTTTATAGTAGGTAGTCTTGGTTCCTGTGCATGACCACTCTGTTGTAAGATGGGAGATGAATGCAGATTACGGTCGTTCGCTAGTCGATCAATCAATGAAGTGAAACTATTCTGTGTCTGAGAAATTGCCTCCAACACCTGACCCATGTTACCCTCAGAATTATTATCAACCACAGTCCTATTATTATCCTCATCCCGTGAGCGAGACGTGAATAACTCCTTTATAGCAAAATATTTCTCCTCAATATCACCACGATAAATATCCTCTACCCTAAGTTCATCCTCATCAATGGTCAATGCGTCAATCTTATCCTGAACAGACTCATATTGGATATAAATCTCATCCAATTTTGCAACTCTAACTCTAATAGCATCAATAGAAATGTCCTGATTAGAACATGTGTTATATATACGTGTGATCGAACCCTTCAAAGCCTGTCGTTTGCTCTTAAGTACATCCATATTGACGGAATATTCGTTTCACAATTCGAACAATAGATATTATGCAAAATATAATAGTGTAAAATAATACAATAAAGAATATTCAAAGATGTGTAAATATTACAATTCCATGTACCTACTTATATGTGTACAAATAATGTTACCAAAATTAATTATCAAAATACTTAAGTATAACATATAATAATATACTGCCTAATGTTATGCAACTACTAGTATACAATATCAATATCACCGTTCCCAAATTCCACTAGGGTTTGTGTATTATATAACATTTTATCCAAGACATATACCTGTTCTCAATGCAGTAACTCGTAACCGTATAAATATTCACAGATGTTAAACTGGTCAAAGCTCCCGTTCAAATAATATCCAGAATAGTGATGTTATTGTTGAAACATAAAGATGCTTTTACGTACTTTAATATGATTATGTTAAATGTCACGCCAAGACTGTTGTCCGTTAAACGATGACTGAAGCTTTATATGATAACGTAGAATATAACTTGTTGTCGTATGAATGACTGGGAATGTTCATGAGTCCCACTATATGATCATGTTAAATGCCATGCAAAACACTGTTGTCTGTAAAACGATGGCTGTTAATAAGCATAAAGCTTAATATGATAACGTTCAATTTAAAACTGATTTTCCTGTTGTTTAATTAACTTGCTGTTGTTGTTGTCGTATGAATGACTGGGAATGCAAAACACTGTTGTTGTTGTCACACCAAAACTGTTGTCCGTTAAACGGTGACTGAAGCTTTATATGATAACGTAGAATATAACTTGTTGTTGTATGAATGACTGGGAATGTTCATGAGTCCCACTATATGATTATGTTAAATGCCATGCAAAACACTGATGTCTGTTAAACGATGACTGTTAATAAGCATAAAGCTTAATATGATAATGTTGAATTTAAACTGATTGTCCCGTTGTTGAATCTTGTTGTTGTTGTCGTATTAATCTGTTGTCCAATGCAACAAAACCATAGTCTTCCAACACTTATCAAACTGCCTTTGATGAACGTTTTCCAATTAAATTATGATGTTCGGAATAATTCATGTAGTAATCTGCAAACTCAATACATATGTATGTATGTTCTCAAGTCTACTGGAAAATTGTGCAATTAGGTGCTTTCCGTGTATGATATCGATATCCGTCTCGATAGGACCAAAATTATGTGCGTAAATTGGTTTACTTTAGGTTCACAAAAAAACAATACACAACACCAAAGCCATTTATCTTAAATTATATTTCTTTATTTTAATTTTCATGAGTACAAGAACAAAACAAAAAAATGGACTGTAAAAATTAGATATGTGTGTGTGTCAACTTATATTCAAAAAAACAGAGTAGTATTTGTATTGTAGTTATAAGAGTTGCATCCACAAGTAATACAGTGTTGTATTTATTATAACTATATAAGAAAAATATTCAGTAGTAATTCAAAAAGGTTATCCGTTAAGTACAAAAAATAAATTCCAATCCACAAACATGGGGGGTATATTGTTTTTGTCATTCCGTTTGTAACACATCGAAATATTCATCTAAGACCCATAAAAGTATATATATTCTGGATCCTTATTAAATTCTAAGACGATCTAGCCATGTCCGTCCGTCTGTCCGTCGGTCCGTCTGTCCGTCTGTTGAAAACACGATAGAGTCCAAACGGAAGCAGCTAGCGAGCTGAAATTTTGCACAAATATTTTATATTGATGCAGTTTGTTTGGTATTGAAAATGAGCAATATCGGTCCACGATTTCGCCTAGCCCCCATATAAGGTCCCCTTCAGAAAACGACTTTAACGCTCATAACTGACTAAAAGAAACATCTATAGCGATGAAATTCGACATGAACATATTTTACAGGAACCTTAATATCATTGTAAAATTTTTTAAGGATCGGTCCATAATAGACCCTATCCCCCATATAAGGTCCCCCTCAGAAAATGATATTAACGCTCATAACTGACTAAACGAAGCAGCTATAGCAATGAAATTCGACACAAGAACATATCTTATAGGAATCTTAATATCACTGTAACATTTTATAAGGATCGGTCCATAATTGACCCTATCCCCCATATAAGGTCCCCCTCAGAAAATGACATTAACGCTCATAACTATCTAAAAGAAGCAGCAATAGCGAAGAAATTCGACATAAACAATTTTTATAGGAATCTTAAAATCATTGTAAAATTTTATAAGGATCGGTCCATAAATGACCCTATTCCCCATATAAGGTTCCCCTCAGAAAATGACATTAACGCTCATAACTGACTAAAAGAAGCAGCTATAGCGATGAAATTCGACACAGACATATTTTTTAGGAACCTCAATATCTTTGTAAAATTTTATAAGGATCGGTCCATGATTGACCCTACCCCCCATATAAGGTCCCCTTCAGAAAATGACATTAACGCTCATAACTGTTTAAAATGAGCATCTATAGCTTATTTTAAACATATTTTATAGGAACCTTAATATCATTGTAAAATTTTATAAGGAACGGTCCATAATTGACCCACCCCCCATATAAGGTCCCCTTCAGAAAATGACATTAACGCTCATAACTGTTTAAAATAAGCATCTATAGCGATGAAATTCGGCATAAACATATTTTATAGGAACCTTAATATCATTGTAAAATTTTATAGGTAGGTAGGTAGGTAGGTTGATAGGAGGATGTATACTACATCAAATCCGAAGAAATACACCTAGGCCACTATCGGGCCTGTTGTGCGCTCCAATTCAAGAAAAAAAAAAAAAAAAAAAAAAAAAAAAAAATTGTTCACTGAATGTATTATTTTTCCATGTTCAGAAACTCAGTTTCCTGGACGTAATTCCTAAGAATCTTCCAATCGGTGTTGGTTAAGAATGTTATTTCTGGAATAACATCACTTCCAAGATACTTGGATCTAACTTCGACGAATGCCTGACAATGGCAAAGAAAGTGCTCCAGAGTTTCACTGTCCTCTCCACATGCTCTACATTCGTCTGAATTCGCACGTCCAATTTTGTATAGATGTGCTCGTAATCCTGTGTGTCCACTGAGAATACGTACCATCATACTAACCTCAGACTTGCTCATTTTGAGAAGATTTCTCGTCTTGCTCTCATCAGGGTCACCCCATAGAATCTTTGTGGTTCTACCCACCGTTTCATTATTCCAAGAGGCCTTATGGGATTCTCTCATCCATATTTTTAATTCAGCTTTTGTTGCGTCGAATGGTTTTGCGTTTGTCAGGTTAACTACATCGAGCTCCCTTCCCTTTAAAGCTATTACATTCGCCCTTTCTTTGCCGGCTACTCCCGAGTGGCCTGGTACCCATATGATGTGAACCTTACCTCTGGGAGAGTATTCAGTTAAAGCTTTCTTACAATCCAATACGGTCTTAGATTTAATTCTATCACCTGATATCACACAAATTGCCTTCTGGCTGTCGGTAAATATATTAAGCCCTGTGGGCGCCATATTTATTCTAATCCAATTTACACATTCCGTTATTGCTCGTACTTCTGCCTGGAAGCTTGTGTTATGATTAGGTAAACGGTGGTATATTTCTGTTTCTGGGTCTTCAATATAGAACCCCAGACCCACTTTGTCCCCTAATTTAGAGCCATCCGTGTAGCAACGGATTCCTACTGGTATTTGCTCTAATGTTCCGCTTGACCAAGACATTCTATCTGGGATTAGCGTTTCAAAGTTTCCGACATATTCAGTGTCTGGTATGCGATCAGGCACGTCCGATGAATGTGTATAACCTTCCAATGTGTCCAGTATACATTGATGACGTGTACTATAACCGTTTTTGGCCAGTTCGCCTAAAGTAAAGAGCCGTTCGGCTGTAAGCGCCGCCTCATATCTTATATATGTTTCAATGGGTGGAATATCTAGCAACGTTTCCAGAGCCTTGGTTGAAGTAGTACACATGGCACCACTTATACCCAAGCAGCATGTACGCTGAACTCCCTGTAGTAGTTTGATATTACACTTTTTGTCCAAAGCAGTCCACCAGATTATTGAAGCATAAGCTAGAATTGGTCTAATTACACTTTTATAAAGCCAATTTGTCATAGTAGGACTAAGACCCCATTTCATGCCTATGGTTCTCCTACATATCGCCCAGCACCGATGTGCCTTGTTGATCCTATCCTCTATGTGGTGTCTCCATTTTAATTTCCGGTCAAGTATTACACCTAAGTACTTAACTTTGTCTGTCACCGGTATCTTCTTGCCCAAGAAGCAAGGTTCAGTATATGTAGAAATTTTTGTCTTTCTTGTGAAAAGACAGATTTCCGTCTTCGCCGGGTTAACATTGAGGCCTCTCGGTTGAGCCCAGCTCAAGGCCGTATTCAGAGCCTCCTCAGCTCTTCTACACAAGTAATTTGGATCCTTTCCCTTTAAAAGTATTACGACATCGTCTGCATAGCAGACAGGTCTAAGTCCTTTCTCGGTTAGGGTCCTTAGGAGGCTATTAATCGTGGTGACCCAGAGTAAAGGTGACAAAATGCCACCCTGTGGTATACCGCGAAATACCTTTTTCCTGATAGTTATATCGTACATCTCGCAGCTTATCCATCTGTTCCTTAGCATGTAGTTGATCCAGTTACGGAGCACCCGGTCAACATAAAACTGGTCTAGGGATTGGATAAGGGTATCAGTGTGCACGTTATTGAAAGCGCCTTCGATGTCAATGCATACTGCCAGTGTATACAGTTTGCTATCGAAAGATTCACTTATGTAGTGGACAACTTCATTTAAAGCGGTCTCCACCGATCGTCCCTTTACATAAGCATGCTGCTTATATTTAAGGTCATTGTATGGTATGCTGCTTTTAACCATGCTATCGACTATCCGTTCCAAGGTTTTAAGTAGGAAGGACGTAAGACTTATCGGTCGATAGGACTTAGGTGTCGCATAGCTAGGTTTCCCTGGTTTGGGTATAAATATTACCCTTGCATCCTGCCATTTAACTGGGGTATATGCCAATTTTAAG